AGTCTTTGAGACAAGGTATCACTTACTCGGTCCCTCCACCGTCATCCGTCAATCAGGACTTGTCTCAACAAGGCCTAGGACAGAGACTGGGAAAACGAAAAGCAAGGGATCCGAAGGCAGTGTGAATCCCACGGGAATCCCATACAGATGACATACAAATGAATCGATGGCATGGGAATCCTCAGCTATGCCGGAATCAGTCGGCCGAATCCATTACGTTAGTTTTTCTTAATTGACATTTGTGAAGAGAAAGGGTAATCGGTCAGGCCGACTAAACGAGGAGGTTTACTCGGATTGGAAACAATTTTTTTATTCACACAAACCTGTCATACCCCATGACTTTGGGGACAAGTATGCATTGAGGCCATGTGGTGTCAGGTGGGCCGATCCAACTTGCTGTTCTGCCCATGTCGTTCGGCGAACTTGCCCTCCTCGCAGGCTGGATTTGAGCTGGATCGGCCAAGTTTGCCCACTCAGTCTTGGGTTTCACACCCTCAACTTGACCGGCAGATGGGCACAACTGTGGACTGTCGCTTGGAGACCACTCCGCTCTCGGGTGGCCGGATATCCTCTCGACATAGCGACATTTCTTGCGGCAAATGGATTTCGGAAATTACCAAACTACCTGGTAACTGTAGCACACAAAAGCATAAATGGCGAATTTTAATTGCATCAAAATGGCGGAATGGACATCACATCGAAAGCAACCGGACATTTACGTCATGGGACGCAGAGATCAGCATCGCGTAGGTCATATTTGTTGTTGTATTGGTATCGTTAAGGCGAATTCAGGTGATACAGCACATTTAACCAATTCACCTTAATTAGAATGAGCAGTTTAGTGCGTTTAAATGAAACTGCCGACGCAAAGAAGCGTCCAGATGGTTAAGTGAGAATGACAACAAACAATAATATGGTACAAATTGGCATGCAGCAAAAACGATAATAGTACAATTTATGACAACAAATGTTGAGATATTACTTAAGTTAGAGTGAGTAGTACAGTTCACTTTGTTAACATTACTTGCATCGAAAAGAGTATGCTTTATGTTTACAAAATGTAAGCAATTAAGTTAATGAATGTATGCGATATTCACATACTTTATAATTTACATAAAAGCAGGCTTAAAAACAAAGTTGGTGTTGCTACTATATAAAAAATGAGTAGTTGATCGCATAGAAATAAAATATTTTGCTTAAAGAGTCATGACAACCAAAAATAATATGTCGTTTGCTGAAGCTTGCTTTCGAAAGTTGGTCATATTATCAGTAGGACCGAGAGGACCGCACCTCGTCTGGAGTCGATGGTATGCAGGTTAATTGCCATTCAGACACTCGTATCACACCTTTAATATCACAACTTCTTAATTGCTTGTAGGTCCAATCACAGTCTCTCTCTCTTACCACAGAAGATGCGATTTCACTTGATCACTGCCAGCCAAGTTGTCCTACTGGAGACGCTATTTGCCACACTCTGGATGGTACGGATAGTCTCGCCTCGCTGAACGGGTCTCCAAAGTTCCTGAAAAATCTCCTTTTCTAACTTTGAGAGATAGAGAAATTGATGATGAAAGTTGATATTTGTCTTTTTCACCCATTAGAATACACAGATACATTAAAGTCAGTGTTGTTATGTAGTTATGAGTTTAAAACAAAGACGTTGAGGCAATATTCAAAGCGATTAAATGGGTTATTATTTAAAGTATTGTGAGTAATATTCTCGCATCAAAAATGATGCGAGAATACTACTCACAAATTCATAAATTCTTATCAACCAAGTAGTATAAATATGTATATATTTAAACATATTAATGTAATCGTTTTGCTCTTTCTTCGATATTCATTTTCTGTGAGTCTAATAATTACACATTATATTTATATTCTATTATTTTTGCTTTCGAATTTCACGTTTTTAAGATCAAATAATGTGTTTAACCAAGGCATTTTAGAAATTTGTAATGCATTTTTCACCAGCTCTAAATGGCTGCGCGTTTCATCTTGTAACAATTCTATTCTCATTTTTCACCAAACCCTTTTAATTTCTACTCTCAATTTTCGTGCTTCATTATTCATTTTCAGCTTCTTGTGAGACATTTATCCCCATTTTCCCTAGCTTACCTGACTTCATTTTAACCTTGTCATCTCCTTCACTTGCCTCACAATTTCTGTACATTTTGCTGAATTATCCATCGT